CAGGAGAAGTAGAAATAAGCTGGAATCATAAGGGCAATCAAAACAACACAATTAAAGGTCTGGTAGCTGAGAAACCACAGAATTATGGTGTAGAGTTGTTAAAAAATTGAAATAAAGAAAATAAGGAGAAAAGAAAATCAATTTAGCCTCAATCTAAACATAACCCGAGGCAGAAAAAAGGGATAAAGAAAAAGAAAAAACGAATATTCTTGCAGAGGGTAGATAAGGCAAAAGATAAAAGGGAGAAAGAGAATAAAGGTATACCTGTCTAGGAAGGAAAACCCAGAATCTATAACTTTGGTGGATTAGCAATATGTTTGCTGCCCTGGATTGAAAACAAAATTTGCAATTCGTTCCACACAAATGACAAAACAGGTGAATAGGATCAGTTGAAAAGAAGGGAAGGAAAAGGCTTGCCTCATAAGCTTCGGAGATTTGTTTGAATTTGGCTTCAGCTTCTTTCTTGCTGTTCGGGTTTTTGTCGGGGTGCCATTTCATTGCCAGTCTCCTGTATGACTTCTTGAGATCATCTTCTGTGGCATTCCTGTTCACTTTCAGAACGTTATAATAATCCACGCCCATCCCTAATTCTTGATTGATTCCACAAACACCCAGATCATTAAAGCTACGAATAAAAACAAAAATCAACTGAATTATGATCTCATCCCTTCTTCACCAGAAAGACGAAAGGAATATATTGCGGGGCTTCGTCAAATTGATTTTGGTCAGCATCTACGCTAACAAACTACGTTAATGCCTAAAATGGGTCGTTTTGGGGTGTCTATTATTGCCGAGAAAATCTTAATTTTTTTTTTCCACATTTACCTACACATTAATTTTTTTTTTTTTGGTCTCCATTCAGTCTTCAATTGACCCCTCACGCGAATGAATCTCTTGACTAATATCCTCTTGCTAAAAAAAAAAACAAAAAACAGCCTTAATTAATTGAAGAGATATGCGGTTGCATCCACTTTCAATTGATGATGCCAACAGACTCCTGATCTTATCCTGGCGACAACAGAAGGAATTAAATTAATTAAAGTATAAATGAATTTTTAACATTTTGAAATGGGAAGCGGACTGAAAGAAGGGAGATGATTTGCCTCTTTTGCTAATAAGCCCTTTCTTGCCTTTGTTGAAATCAAAATTTTTACGAGACAAAAAAACAGCTTAGAACACTTAACCGACTATTTTAATGAAGTTCTAAAATTTGCCCAATTTTAATGAGCTAAGCTGCTACAAAGTGTAGAGATAACACTGAAAAACACACATATCTACACGCAGTTTCATATATATTTCTGCAGATGTGTACTAGAATGTCCTCTGACACTCGTAGAATAAAATTCAGAACTAAATAGAGGATGCCAGTTATGGCAAACCAAAAGAAAAATAAAAAAGGACACGAAATCTATCCAGACTGTCAGTCCAAGTAGGATGGTACATGGATTACTGCACTTCCTGCAGATGCTTGGTTGGCTGCTCGATTACTTCCGAAATTCTTACGATTTGATTCTCTTGCAATTCTTGAACCAAACTAACCAAAAAAAGCAAAAAATTCAAATTCAGTTTCAATTGTGCCAGAACAGAATTGTTCTCACATATATATATATATTTTTAACCAACCAAAAAAAAATGTAAATCAAGTGGGCTTAGCTAATAATCAGCACAACGCTTCATGCATCAGTTTGAACTTGAAGATATAATTTAATTCCTACGGAAATGGATTTAACTCTAATACTTCTCTTTCTTTGATTATGTTAATACATAATATGCAACAGAAACTACTGAAGCTTTGATCTTCTGATCCATGGATGGCCAATCCAAGACGAATCAAAAAGAAAAGCTTTGTAATTGAGGCAGTGATTTTAACAAGGATATGTGTACTAGCCAACAAAAAACAAAAAAATGATACATGGAGGAAAAACATGTTGCAAATTTTTTGTAGTATTCAATGCCATGCATGGAAAAAGAAAGGAAACACAAATGAGAGAGACAGAAAAAAAAAATGTAAATAAATGCAGAAGGATAACAGGAGGAGCGCAGACCTGAATTGCTCTTTTAGCCTGTACAGCAGCTTCATGTAAACCAAGCAATCGAGCAACCTTCAAGAAAGAAAATAAAAGATTCTTATGATGTTTAAATATGTTTAACCTTAAAACCATATATAATTAAACCATGAGTCCACCCTCTCAAAACAGAAGCAACGTGAGAATCTGACTGACCTCTCTCAGAATCTTCTTATCACCTGTTCCACTAGGTTGATTGAGATCAGCAACCTCCCAAAGAGGAGCATCCAGTAGAGCCTTTATAACATCTTCATCTAAGAATGGAAATCTAGCCTGGTAATGAAACAAAGGGTTTCAGAATAATCATATCAAGATTCGAGCAACAAAATGAAGCTGTTTGGAAGTACCTCCTTCCCGTGATCAGCAATACATCTGTCATCTCTTCCTAGATTTCTTTTCCAAATTCTCTGCATGTCCAATTTCATTTCCTCATGTAGGCCACACCAACTACTCAGAGCATGTTGAACAATCAAAATGAGAACCTTTTTTTTCTTTTAATGTTCAATAAAAATGAGAACCTTAATATTTATTACTAGACAGCTACAAAATCGTGTGAAAAGATTTTCCTACTTTTCTTCCCAAGAAAATTCAGAATGTCAACAAATAATATTAAAACCAGGAAATAATTTTAAAATCACTTCAACAATAATGAGAAAGAGCAAGATATCACAAAAAATGTGATTATTTCACCAATGCTTCAAACTTGAAAAATGTACAACCATACATACAACTCCAAGCTGATCCAAGCCTCCATAAACTCTATGATACACAACTTAAAGCAGGGATCCAATTGACATAAATCAGTTCTCAAGGGTTTAGCATGAAGAGAAATTTGAAAAGTGACTATTGGCACTCAAATAATACAAGAAGTAGATATATACCAGAATTCATGATTCTCTTCATTTTGACCTATTCTGGCCATAATTGTCAGTAATTGCAGGGATAATTAGAGAGGGAGCTAAAAATGTATGAAATATGAATGCCTTTCTAGATGCAAAGCTGAACCCCACTTTGAGGATGCCTGCTTCCCTACCTGGAGTCATGGTAGTGTGGTACTAAGCTTAGTTTTCTTTAACTTTTCCAATATGCCACGTTACCTGGAGCAGCAATCAAACACTCTAGTGGCACGTTGTTATTCAAACAACTCTAAGCAAGGGAAACAACAAAATTTACCTTAAACACGAAACTAGAATGAAAGGAAATCTAAAAGTGCTTACGACATGAACTGTGAACACTCAGAGGTGTATCATCAAGCAAAAAGAGGCTAATTTGCAAGCAACTAGAAAAAACTTGGATCTAACACGCCCCCACCCCCCCCCCCTCCTTGACAAAAGCGAATCTAGTTTCCCAATTTGTTTTCCTGCTAATTGGCACATACATCAGTTCCATTATAGCTCTCTCCTTTTCATTTATATTACCTGAGCCACCCCTTCACCATGTGATGAGTCAAAGCTCAAGGTTTGTTGACTTAGCCATTTTCATCTTCTTCCAATGTAATCCTTATCTTCACAAGAACCGATATCTCATCTTCTAGAGTATATTCAATCTACAAGTTACAGAAACGAAGGAAAAGGGAAAGAGAAATGAAGTCTAAAGATTTATCACAAACATATGACAGGATGCAACTCTTACATAATCAAAATGTCATCACTGATATTGACAAAATGCACCAACACAGACAGACACAAATTCAAACAACAACAAATCAGCAGAATATTAAGAACAGATGACGACACTCTAGTTAACCAAAACATAAGTATACCTTCCATTCAAATACTTTGTCCTATGTCTACCATATCCAGCACATTGCTCATCAGCACCAGAACCAACAAGAAGAATTTTTGCCCTGGATTTGTACTTTACAGATTGAATATCCTTGTTCATATCAGTGTCGCCATCCTCATGCACCCAACCTTCACCACCAGCAGCCAACCACAAAGCTATTCCTATGTTCAGGTCCTGAAATTTTAAAATCTTTTTTTAATTAGTTCAGAGGAAAGAAGTGAGATTGAAGAAATTACTATGTTCTATATCAGTTGTTTGGTTTATAGAATAAGATGTGAAATAATCAGTGTATGAATTTAAAAAGAATAAAATGAACTTCATAATCAAATTTTATGTAATATAAAGCCTAAATGACAGTAAATTGACTCTAAAGATCTATATATATCATTCATTTCATTTTAAATAATTTATACTTTTGCTGATGCTGAGAAAATAAGTTTAAATAGAAAATTAGAAAACAGAAAGACAGAAGTTGGATTGTCACATTCTTGTTTTCCTCAATTTTTCTGCCTTTTCCTCATCACCTTTGTTATATCCCATACCAATGCAATGTTAATAGATCACATTGCTAATCAGAATTGCTGATGCAATTCTAACATCTCCAGCAAGCACAGCATCTTTTTTTTTTTTTTGGATAACATGGGTTTCTAGACTATAACAGCCCACCTTTTCTGGTTATACTATGATTCTTAGTCCTTAATTGCATACCAACTTTAAGAAACCTTCTTAGTGGGATTGATTTCCAAAGTCAGTAACTAAGGCTCTATTTAGCATGGTTGTGGTTTTGAGTTTTTGGTTTTTAGTTTTCAAAATTCAAACAATCAAAATTAACAATTAAAAACCAAAATTAAAAATTAAAATTGCTAACTTATTTGGTATAAAATTTTAAAACAAATACCCAAAACTCTAGACTTAATTAGTTTATTTATAGAACTAGTTGATGTTATTCTAGGGTTTTTAATTTTTTGTAAAGCAAAAGCAAAACTCAAAACCACAACCATACAAAATGGAGCCTAAGCTTTTTAGACACATAACTTGCTCAAAATTTTAGCAGAGTGGACTCTTAATTAATCCACTAAGACCAAGCTATAAGACTGTATTCTTAAGAATTAAGCCATTTTCTTTATTTAACTCTATGCCGCCTTGAACTTAGGGAATTCAGGATGAAAACAGCAAGCTGTGTTCTGTGCGTTTTGGGTAGGTGAATTAGTGTAAGAAACAGGGTGTATTAGTTAGGGAATAGTAATTATAGCTAATGAGATGAAAGTCTAAACATGCATGTCATGTCTAAGATTAATCTCTGTATTTCTAGCCATGTTAGGTCTGTTAAGATTTCTGATCTTGTCAGCTTATGACTTACCAACTTTAAGCATGATCAAGTGAAATACAAATATGTTGTGCATGATATTACCTCTCTTCAATGTCTGACGTTAAGCACTCTGTTATAAATTATAATGAGCTCATATGTCTGTCAACATTCTAAATGCTTATTCTAATCTTAGGCATGCTATGTGAATATGACTTCCGAACAGGTTATGCATGTTACTTGTCTGCATGCCTAAGATGACTTGCATGTTGTTTGTTCTCTGGCTATGGAGGTTTTCAGGCTTAGGTTTGGTTTGGGAATGTTCTTGTCCTTCTAGGACATCTGGCTTCCTAAATGGGGCATTTTCTGACTACCATGCAGGAGGGGGGTGTGTTAAGGTTTGCCCTGGTACTAGATGTGCATGCAAGCACATTTTCCTGACTCCATACCATCTTTTTTATGATTTTTGTTCAGTTTATGCCTTATGATGTTATGCAATTAAGTCATGCTACTTCTTTTCTAATGATTGATTCAAAGGTAATTCTAATCTTAGCTAAATGCAGTTACTGTAGCTAGAAACAAAAAGATTGCCTAAGCTTAATTCCATTAGCCTTTAAATATCTATGTTAAGAAAACTCTATCAAGGGAAAAGCTAAAAGAGAAAATTAAAGAAAGGCATACTGAGAATATTGTTATGGGATATAAAAAAGAAAACTATAAAAGGCATACTGAGAAAATATTATTTAGGGATAGAAAAAGGAAAACTAAAGTAAGGCATACTGAGAATATTATTCTGGGATATAAAAACAAGTACATAGGAATCATTATATAGGCTTTAAGGTGAGGCTGAGGCCTAAACACAATCCACCATTATAACATAAAAAAAATCTAAGATATATTCCCATAATTAAATCAATCACCACTAATGCAATTGATTAATTCTTAACATATCTCTTAAAATATTCTAATAGTCTAAAGTCAAAACCATTTCAGATCAGTGGAACTACAAAGGTTCAGGATTATCAAATATGCAATCTGGCTACAGATAAACATGCAATTATCAAATAAACTCTTAGCTTACGTTTTGTGGCACTTATGTACATTTTGTGCCATATATTTGTTAAACTTATCATCCTGAACTATCTGAACTCTTAAAACAGTCATATTTTGAAGTTCTGTCACTTGTGATATCTGTAATTATATCCTCAAATATTCATAACTTTTTTCAGGAAACCGTTCTTAATCTATATGAATTCACAGCTTTTATATTTAGAGGGTGTTTGGTGCAGATTGTGAAAAGAGCTTTTTGGTTCTAAAAGTACAAGCTGCACCAAACACCACAGCTTCTCAAATGTGCTGCAGCTTCCCAGAAGCACATCTTCTCCCCGTTCCTTTGCAAATCCCGGAAGCACCAATTTCGTGCTTCTACGGGAGCTTCTCGCTTCAGGATTAATGAAATTGACATGGTATTCCCATTTTCTCCTCACACTTCCTTTAATTTACAAAAAAACCACTATATAAGGGTTCATTTTATAACTCCCATTTCTTTCTTTCTTTCTCTCTGAAGCAACCAATCTGCAGTTTTCTCCCTCCCTTCTTGCCCATCTTCTTCAAAGCTCGCCCGTGTCCTCTTGTGCTGCCGATACACTCCCAAGTGTGGAACCGCTCATCCCTCTCCCCCCACCACGCTCCAGTCCTGTGCCACGCTCGCGTTAACTTAACTTGTTGCGGGGAGTTCAGTTGTTGTTGCTCTTCTTCCAAAGCAGACCGAAAATATAAGCATCGTCAGTCACCGGCCTTCTTCCCATTTCTCCTCACCGGAAAATCCCCACCGTCAGTCGGCGCCAAAATCCCATTTCTCCTTCTTCTTCTGTGGGTCTCCTTCCTTTTCTCTGATTTTTTTCCTTTTTTGGTGTTTCTGCTACTGATTTGGTAGTGATGAATGATGATTGTTGGTCGGTAGTGTGAGTTGGTGAAAGTTCTAATTTTTAATCCCTTCTCATTCCTTGTCTTCTTGCAGATCTGGGCCAGGCAACGACCGTCGACAACTGCTGAGGATCGCCGAGACCACGCTCTGCCATTTTCCTACATTTGGGTTTTCCACTGTAAGCCCCAGAACCCATCTTTATTTTTTTTCATAGAAATCGATCCATTTTCCTATTTTAATTGCATTTGTATTATGGTGATATACATATTAGTGCTGTTTATATTCCTTACTTCAGTGATGAATTTCTTTATGGAGTAGTGGTTACTGGCTTTGGTGGGGTTTGGATATTTGATTCTGATTACCTCTACTTGAGGGTCACTTAGTTTGCTTCGACAATTTGCTGTTGTTACTATTTCATTTTTACTTTTACTTCAAGGATATTGCTTTTTATAGCTACAAATTGTTAATTACCTAATACAACTTACAATATGCTCTAGGGGAAAGGAAAATGTTAGTACATAAACAAAATCGAACAAGAAAAATTAAGAAAAAAATGTTATTGGCCCAAAAACAAAAGAAATGAAGGAAAGAACTGCTAATGGAAAAATACTAATTTATATCACCCTTTTTCCACCTATTGGAACTGTCCAGAAATTCATTTGTGACTTTATTTGTGTTGAAATATTCAATTGCTCAATTTTTGCTTTCTTTTCCTAGGACAAAATGCATAAAAGTTAAAAATGATAAGGACAGGATTAAAATTAACAATGACTTGTGCTAGCGGACATTCATCAAGTTGTGAGAGTTTTGCCAAGAAACTTTTTTACTTGTATAAATACCTGTCAATGCAAGCCTATGCATTCTATCCCCCAAGACATTCAGAATCTAGTTGGTATTATAGTATCACTCTTGTTCATCCTCCTAATGCTTCAGGCTTTTCTTGTTTCTACTTCTGTTTCTTCTACTGTGTCTTTCTGTCTTCCTGCTAAACCTTATGTGTTCCCAGCAAAAGTTATTCTTACGAATTTCTTAATCTTGAAAAGTCTTTCAAATTTGCCCCATTTTTTAAATAATGCATCTTTTTGGAGAATTTTCTTTTCTTCAAAAACCCATGTTCTCCCTCTGTCTTTGTCTTTATGTTTGTCTTGCTTGGTCCTGATGCATCTGTGCGGTGGATGGAGTGAATGTCTGTGTGCTTGGTAAGTTAAGGAGGATGACTTGAAAACCTTTCTACATTGTCACGCTTTTTTTTGGTTTCTTGTTTTTAGGTTTGATTTTTAGGTTCTAAAGCAGCTTTGAATTGGGTATTCTTCCAATTATGGTTTTCTTGCATTGCATGTCTGTTTCTTGATAACGTGATTAATATTTAGAAGGATTTTCTCATCTGGGTTTTATTTGATTTTAGGTTTTTTGAGTTTTAGGCTTTGTCAGTTCTACAAAAGGGTAAAACTTTCTGTCAATTCTCTTGGATTTTATTGATTTTTGGATCTTGAATTTCCAGGTTTTGCTGTTTTTCTGGTGGGTTTTTATTATCTATGTCGTGTGGACCATGTTCATGAATGCTGCAATGTCAAAAGGTTTTAAAGATGAAGCTGATTTTGGAGAACATTAGTTGGAGTTGATACTGGCAAAATCATTTTTATGGATCAAGAACAAAGACGATGGCTGTGCTTTCACATTTCAGAAAATGGGTAACTCGTCTGGCAGATTGTGTAATAGCTATTACACAACATAAAGGGAACATGAAGATTTAACCCAAACAAAAGAACGGGCTTGGTTGAGTGCCTGATATTGAGAGTGAGGATTTGTTTAGTAAATCATACTGTATTGATTTTTTTAGAGTACTTTGGTTACTAGACTAGTATTAAGACTTTGGTTATATATATGATACCATGATGTATTTAGATATTTTTTTTCAATAAAAATAATTATAGAATTCTTGATAAATGATATAGATTTATTGATAATTAAATTTTTTTTAAAAAAGAGAGAAATAATGCTTTTTTAAAGACAATGTTCTTTTCATTTTTAATGGAAAGTTAAGGTAATTGTTATTATCAATTTTTATTTTTATTCTTTTGTTTATAAAACTTAAATGTAATATGTTTTATTTTTTAATATAAA